CCAACCTCTTTTTGGCATGCAGATCTATCACAAATGCTGCTAGTTGTGTAAGAGTCTTCCATACAAGATAAAGGAGGAGTTTTCTAACAAGTTCTGTCATTAATCTTTCTTGCACTTGTTTTGTGCTCTTCTCTTACTCTTGACATAATGATAGATGTAGATCATCAATAAAATAATGATTGTTTAGTCAGAGTGAGTATATTTTCCAGTGCAGCACAGCAAGAATTTGCTACCATGTTCCAAATAGTCCTTGCAAAGTACAGTAGAAAAAATATTAATGCATAAAATACTACAGTATCACAGCATAGCTGAGGTTGGCAGGGACCTCTGGGGATCACCTAGTCCAACCCCCTGCTCAAAGCAGATTGCTCGGGGTCTTTTTACAGCCAGGTTTGGAATTATCTCCAAGGATGAATACGTGAGTCATTGGAGCAGAAAGTACCTACTCTGTACCTGAAATGCTGTCAGGAACTATTAAAATAGGCTGCAGCCTGTGGTTTTGTGTACAATGGAAAATGTAAAATGGGTTTCTGGTGATTCTACAATAAAAATTTGAGTCTGGAGTGCCACTCAAGGGTAAAAGACAATACAGGAAGATCAGGTCACCACAGGTCAAAACCAGTGGTCAGGTATGTTATAAATCAGTAGAGATGACGATAACCCATATCAGGTTTCAGAGCCTAGATGTGGCTCTGACAAGATAAAGCAAGCAATAGCACCACTTGTTTTTGAAAATAACTGGGATTAGGGCTATTACCACCACTTGCATAGAGCTATTCATCATCTGCCAGAACCATTCTTTTAGCAAATGTTCTCTCCAGTCATTAGCACATTATCTGTGGGGGACAGCTTCTATAAATGGGCTTGATGAAAATGTGACTTTTCAAATCGAGGGGTGTTATAGTTAACAGGGCAATCTCTCCCTGTAATCACGTCAGCAGTGAAAGCAAAAAGAAACTGATTCATCTTCAAAACATTTCCCTTTTTGCTTGTTTTTCTCACTGTATGATGTTGTATTGCTAGGAAACACACACGAACTCCTACTGAGGCCTCCCAATAAAAAGCCTGAACTGAAAGCAGTTACCACCAGGTTGCATAATTTTCTCCTCTGCACAGAACAGCAGCTACTTGCAGCCGCTATGAGCTAAGGGAGCCAAGCTGTACCTTCTCATGGCTTTTCGTCTGTAAATGCATAGCCATTGATGCTTCTAGAAAAACACATCAGAAGTGCTTATATTGAATTTTCTCTCTTTTTTTTTTTTTTTTCCTACAGATTCAGGGTGATCTTGACAGGTAGACCACTTGACTTTAATCAGACAGTCATATTGATAAACCTGTGGGTTTAAAACAGCACTGACATTTCCAGGGTTTCTGTTGCAGGGACCATGACTCATAAAGCATGGACTCGGGGTGTTGGTGAACGCTAGCAACATGCAGCTTTTACATCAGCCAGTACCCAGGGTTTGGTGGAGAGGAGAAGCGCTATGCATCCATGGAAGCTTCCTTGGTCTTTATGTGGTTGGTAAATTGTGAGCTCTTGTTTTCACCCTGACATCTTCACTGTCACTATTGGTGACCATGAGCACTGACTCTACCGACACAGTGCCAAAAGTGAAAACTTCCAGTGGACCCTTACAAGTTCTGCTAGAGAGGTTCTCTTCTCCTAGCCTTCCATTATGAATTACATTAAGCTTTTAATGTTTAGGATATACTGAAAACTTTATCCCTTTTTTCAATTTTGACAATGTCTTGTCACAAGTACAGAACAATAGCTGCTTGTATTTTAAGTATTATCACGTGTTTTTGTTACAGTTGTTTTTTACTAATATCAAACATACCAGGTCTCCAAACCAGATGCCATTTCAACTTTTACAATGCTCAAATATGAGCAAGTACATGAAAACAAGTTGTTCCATGAAGGCTAGAATCAGGAACGACTGATCACTCCACTTGCTTCCCTGTGCTTCCTCTGATGCCCCTCCCACCTAGGGCCTTCCCAACCCAGCAACTCCCCTGTACCTTACATACAGGTCCCTTCCACAGATCTCCTGCAGAGACATCACCACTGCAATGCTGCAAAAGCAGCAAGAGCCCAACTTGCTGCTTAGGGAATGGTAGCAAACTGCCACTGCATTGGGATAGGGGGCATTTTAAAGAGAAATAAAGTAATTTATCTTCTAAAATTTTGTTCCTCTTTAATAACTTACAGATATATATCTGTATGTGTATATATATATATATATCACCATTCAGTAATGTTTCATAATATGTAAGTGCTTCATTTAACCTGCAGAAATACTTACAAATGGAATTATTTATGCTCTCTGTTTTTTCCCACTTGGAGTTTTTGTGCTTTCATGTCTTTCCTGTTGGCTTTACCTTTGAGTTCTATCTGGTCTATCCACTGTTTCAAGCTGACATTTCCAGATACACCCTCAGTCACTTTTGCCTAAGTACCATCTCTTATGTGGAAGAAGAACATCCTCGAATATTTCTACAGGATGCATACTCATTTCAGGGTGCAGTTCTAAGTTGTCCTTTTCTCCTAAAGCTACACACTAGGTCACCTAAGTCTTTCCAGACATTTAGCAAAGTATTTTCTCTTTCCTCCCACACAGTCGTGTATGATCCTGATGAGAAACAGCTCCTGAAGTTCTGGTACAGCACTCTGGCTTCTTTTTGTTTTGTGTTCTTTATGCCTTTCAACATACAGTTTTTTTCCATTACCTGTTTCTTTAATGTTTCTGTCCTTGCATATTTGCCACATGACAAATGCATTCTCTACTTGATCACTGCTAGGTCTGTATGGGAGCAATCCAAATTTTCTGAGGCAGGCCTAGTTTTGGATTAGGAGTCAGAGCTACCAAAAGATTTACACCTGTTTTGATTTAGGACTTTAGTACAGGCTTTTGCATGGCTGAGAACTTTCAAAGTACTCCTACGTGGTAGCTGGTTCAGAGAGGGAGTTTTCAGCTAGGCAGATTTATAGCTTTCAAATATATAAAATGTAGCATCACCATCCTACCACATCCTGATGTCAAATGATTCATTGGTCTGGGACCTTTCTCTATCTCATCCTGGTCATCTTCCCAGAAATTACCAGCACAGGATACCTCCTTTCTGGCAGGTTGTGTTTCAAAGCAGGCAGATGAATTCCAGCTGGATCACTAGTCATGAGCCACTCAGCCCCATGACCAACTTTTATAGCAATGAATACCTATTTCCACCATGTCTTGGTAAACCATTTTTTTTTATAATTCTCTGTATAAAGATCATCAGAAGGAATTTGAATGTTAAAGGTCTCTCATAACAAACTGTAAAGACTGAAAAGTGCAAGTCAAACATGAAAAGCTGACGCTGACATTTCAAGATTGTGGAGGGGAGACACTATGAGATCTTGAAGGGCAGACTGAAGTGTAAATTCTCAGAACCTTCAGCAGGCTGCAAGACACCATTCATGGGGAATGTTGCTGAACTTCTGTGGACAGTGATTCCCCTTCCTCCAAGTCTTAAAATGCACTCAGTGCCTTCTTGAAAAAAAATTAAAAGATGAAAGGACAACATACGTGATAAAAGATAATAGTTTTGTTCTCTGTATGGGTATGACCACAGCACCTGAAAGGGTGCACATACCAGGGAGAATTAGTAATTTAGCAATTCGTTTCGTTCACACTACTGAAAAACTATAACTTTTTGTTAAACTTGTCATTGATCACGTGGCACTTTTTAAGTACTTGAAATATGAAAAACATATTTTATGCTGCTTTGCTGGGTTGTTGCAAATATTTTATCACAAGAAACAGCTGAATTTGGGACCTGCAAATTGGTGAACACAAAAATATCACATTCAGTTCAGGGAAAGCAAATCTATAGCAGAGCCATCTTTCTTTCTACTTGGTTCCCATGTTGCCCGGGCTTGGGGAATTACTTGTGACACAAGTCAAAGCAGTCATGGGGTTGCTCTGAGCTGAACCTAGTTGCCTGCCAAAACAGTTCCCAGAGATTCTTCTGCCAGATGAGAATTGTGGTAGTTAAGTGCAATATCTGCAGCTCTTCTGGACTGGAGGTAATGAGTTATCAATCCCAGCTTGATACTGGGACAGGGTTTTGGCCATTCTGGCATAAACTACTCCTTCCTTAAAGAAACATTAAAGTTAAATTGTACCAACAATATCACTTTGATCTGGCCTAATAGCTTTATTTTATACATAAAAATTGCTGAGTCATTGAAAAGGACAAGCCAAATTCATTTTACACATACTGTGGCATAACGTATCTCCTTCTGCAGAATAAATGTCAAATAAATATCACTGAGGACTAAGGGCCATTGGCCTGGGATGTCTGATAACTCCTGAAGTACAAACAGGAACTTCTACAGTAACAGGAACACAGCAATGTGACAGAAAACTTTGGTTTGAGCAAAGATGTACGTGTCATCTTTGTCCTTATAGTGATATCTTACTGATTTACACATAAACGCTATCTGGCTACACAAGAAATGCAGGAACTTTTTGACAGACAAACAGACCTGACTTGTGTTTACAAATGCCAGGACTTCTGGATTCCTGGCTTCATAGATGCTTGACATGCAATGAAGTGCAGCTGTGGCTATGATGGGGAAAGCAATGAGCTGGGTGTTATTTGAGTATGCTCTCAGCAAATACTGTCTGAGAGTCCCGTCCTCTGAATAGTTACAGTTTGACAGCTGCTATTTATGAGAAAAATAGCAACTGTAAAGCTGCTTGCTACTTTATTTACCTGAAGCTTAGCAGCAACCATAGTGCTAGGATATTAAAATACAAATTCTTCATTTAGGACATCTGACCACATCATTAGGGACTAATTGGTCAGATTTCTAGTAATTGGTTACCAGCACATTTTTAATGTCTTGGCCACGTCTAAGACTGAGCACTATTCAAAACTATTACCACAGTATACTCCTGGAATTGTTTTAATAGAGGATAATGCTAATTTTGTGTACAGATCTTTGAAGCTCCTACCTGTAAAGTGCTGATGTGGACAGGAGTCCCTGTGCCATTCACAGTGTTCTTCTTGGCAGCATTTCCACCCTTTCCTTCTGCTTGCTCTGCCTTGGCAATCTTTGCTTTTTCAGCTTCAATTCTCTTTGGATTGTTTAGCATTACCTGAACCACAGCATACTCCACCAGGGATGCAAAGCCAAAGAGAAGGCAAACAATCAGCCACACATCTAAGGCCTTCACGTAAGACACTTTGGGAAGTTCAGCAGCAAGAGTGGTACATTCAGATGCCAAGCTGAGCACTGAGAAAATACCTACAAAAAAGAAAAAACAATATATTGATTAAGAAAACTTCCCCTCAGTGACACTGGCTGTGCTCTTCCTCTGAAACAGACAACAGTGAATGATGTTTTGTAACAGCAAATGGGACTTCACAATGCGGTTGGTGCAGCAGGTGTACAAAGTGCACATGCCTTCGGTTCACGAACATATTAAACTGAACACTTATGTAAGATATTGCAGTTAATGGTGAATTATTAAGTACCTTCATTTTACAAACAGGGAAACAAGTAAGTGAGGCTAAACTGGTTGTTGTGGTTTTCCTGCCCCAACACACAGCTGGGAAATGGGCTGTCCAAAGACTTATCTTACAATGTGCAAGTCCGGGAAGGTGGAAGAGAAATATATGACACTTAAACCAAAGGACTCCAAGTCCTTTAAATTAGACTACCACTGTCCCAGAAATCTGAACTGTGCTGCAGCAGGAACAATTCTCTGAATGACCTGTTCACAGGTGTGATAATCAAACCTTAGGTGAAAGGGAAATTTTGCTCAAGAGCAGAGCTGTATGAGCACATCACAAAGTCTGTGTTCTCGATTCACTGTGAAGATGAAAACACGGAGGTGACTAAGGGTCTACAATCATTCCCTATTTGAGCTTCCAGGATCTAGAGGAAGCTTTCTAGATAAAGGGCATTTCATGAAGCCCTTATCATGAACAAAAACACACATGTGCAAAGGCTGTTGAAAGGTCACACTCATCGTGGATTTCAACAAGCATTTCTCCTAATAAGGCTTCCAAATGTCACAATCAACACAAGGCTCATATCTCAAGAGATGAAAAACAAGCCTGATCTCACAGAAAGATTTCTCACAGGGTCCTATGAAAAGAGAACAGTAGTTTGAACAGCTACTTTTGGAAAAAGCTAACTTTAGAAATGGCTGTCATGAGGGAAAACTTAGTTCAATCTGCAAGTTCAGAATGTCCCATTTTGGTTTTGTGAATGCTAATGATAAAAAGCTTTACTTATGAGTGGGCAGCTTAATGAAATATAATTGATGTCTACAGAAAATGTTGGCCAAAAAGAGATATTCAATTACTCTCAACTACATTTCTTATACTGGTCAAATGTGCAATCCGAAGCATAAAAAATTTTGTCATTCATAGAGAGATAATTTTCTTCATATAGATTTTAAGTAACTGAGGATGTGAAAATGTTAAATTATACTGAAAATATCTGTATTTGCCTATGAAAATATTCAATTCTAGTTGATCATAAACAACACATTCTTTTGCTACTGTTCATATTTGGATTTCAGCAAGATTGACATGATACTTTATTTGGCATTAATCTCAAATGGGCAATTTACTAGCTGCTAAAACACTGAAGCGTAAAGAAATGTTTACAGTCATGCAATTTTAAACCAGAGAATTTTATGATGTTTTATTTAGAAACGTGTAGTATCGATGGATCACTGCAAAGCTGGATTTTTTTTTGTCCGTGGGGATAATACAGAATGGGCCCGTGTGTTACCTCAGAACAGAATGATACGGTAAATACTGAACAGACAATCCTCAGTGTCCACTCTGGCTTATTCTCCATCTATTGTATCTGAAGCATTAAAGTACAAACATGCCTATAAGGATAGAAAGTAAGCATAGAATACTTCTTTTTAAAAAAAATTATTTTCACTTACAAACACCGCTGACTGGGGATGGATCATAAAAAACTGCAATAACAAGTACAAATAAGGCTGTACTGCCTCTTAACATATACAGGACACATCTGCCTGTGTCCAGCATGCTATTTGAATAACCCTTACCCTGAAAAACCAAATTATCAATGATATGGACTGGCTCAACATCTTGGATATAGCAATTTTTTCCTACTGACTTTAAAAGTGTTTACTATCTTAACATGTAAGTGTGATTATCATACCTGGTGCCAAAAAAAAAAATTGTACACCGACTTTAAGACCTTAAAATATTATATCTTACATTACTGGATTGAATTCTACAGAAGTAACTTAGAAGTTCTATGAGCTGAAAATATTTTTGTGGAGCTTTCACTGTTCATGAATTTTCATCACTCATTTCAACTGAGGTCATGGTGACCAGCAGCTAATTCCATTTGTCTGGATTCTTACAGTGAAAGGTTCATTCTTGGAGTCTAAGAAACTCTTGAGTTTTCAAGGTAACATAAAGTGAGACAGAATCACATAAACATTCTATTAAGCAACCATTTGCTGCCTGATGAGAGTTGGCATGGCCTTGGAGACCCTAGTACCAGAGCTGTAAGTTACACCTCTGGCAGCAGCTGCCCTAGGTGCTTACCTAACACAGTCCAAGGCTTAAGGATCAAATGTGAGTGAGGAGTATGAAGAAATAAACAGGAATGTTAGCTATTTTTTAAAAAAGAAGGAGGGGAAACAAAAAATCCCCCCTTTTCTTCTTAGGAAGCGCTAAAGAGAAGGGACCTAGAGCTCCTTCCTCCACACTCGTAAAGTAAAGGGAAAGCTGGTATTTTTAGGAAATACCTCTGCACTTTTTCCCTAGTGTGGCATCCCTCTTGATGACAAAATCTAATTTTATCAGTAAAGTTAGTTAGCTTCCAGTCTAAAGCATCACTGTGCAGAGCTACTATTTTAAAAAATGACCTAAGGTAACATATAAATGTATGAAAATGCCAGTTCAGCAAAGCATTTCAGCACACGCCAGATAAATAAATCTCCCTTTTTTTGAATCCAACCAATTCACTGACCTCAGCACTATCTCCTGACAGTAAATTCCAAAGGTTAATTATGTGCAATAAGAAATATTATTTTCTGGTTTATACTACTGCTTTAAAAATACCTGGATTCATCTTACTAATGTTATTGAAAAAGCTAATATTCTGACTTGCTTTCCTTTAAATTTGCTATCTCTAGTACATTCTCTTCTCTCATTAATCTCCATAAACTAAAAGACATCATCTTGCCAATCCATCTTCACACTACAGTTGTAACATATATCTTTATGTCTTTCCTTTGAAACCCTACAGTTGTTACAATTTTATAAAATAAATGACTAGAACTAAGGCAGATCTGAGGACAAGAGTGATGAGCGGCGAGTGGGGCATGTCTGGCTGCAGACCCAGCTGTCCTTTGTATGTGGGAAAAACACCATTGATCACTACAAGCTTTTAGTTACCCTGTTGTACCTCCACCTTCACTCTGGACCAATGTTTCATTCTGTCAGGCCACTGTGGAGGGACAGAAGTCCAACATCACTCAGATCCCTACAGTTCCAGGGAAGATCTTACTCCCTTTGGGGATAACACAGCAGTGAAGGAAGGAAAGGACTTTTTCAATGGATGCTGGCATCCTTTCCACCTGTAAAGAACGGGAGAGTCCTGTGTCGGGCTCACTAAAAGGTGAAACACCAGCATTGAACTAGAAAGCATTCAGTGATATCAGCCCTTATGTTGCTTAGCCACAGCTATCCAGATCCCAGTCTTTTGTGGATTTCTCTACCATCAGATGATTTAGTTGGGTGCAATCAAACAGGTATAAATAGGGCTTGCAATTTATTTAGTTCTTAACAGATACAGGCTTTTTTTTTCAAACAAACATAAATCCTCTTCCCAGAACATCAGTCTATAAAAATGTAATTCTGGTTACTGGTTTGCCATGTGTCTTGTACTCCCAAATCACCCAGAAACTTCTGAGATGCTTTGCCATGGGGAGCAGTAGCCCACAATACTTAACTCTAGGGATGACTGCATTAAGATATTAGTAGGTAAATCTGAAGTAGCTTCTCACCTGATGACATCTGTATCTAGCCATTGGTAACAATTTATTGGGGCTAGATATCATTCATTTGACACACAAATGTTAATCTTGTTATATTTCAAGGTCAACTGTCTTCAAGGGTGTAGCTAGAAGAGTTAGTTTGTTGCTCTCCTGAACACTGGAGGAACATAAATCTTACCCCAGTGACAGTGGTAACAACCTTCATTACTAAATACTGACTCAGCTAAAGAATGGTCAGATTTAGAGGGTTTTTTGCTTCTCTGGGGATACAGGAAAAGTCACATAACTAGGCCAATAGTATCGTTAAAAATGCAGTATTTCAGAAATGCTAAACTCCAAGGTATCAATAGAAAGAGTCAATAAACACTCACAATGACTGAAACAAATAAAAAATTGACGCACATGCAGCTGCACACGGGTCATGTCCTGTGGGGCTGTGGAGGTTCCAGTGTGGATAAGAGGTTTCTAAGGAAGACAGGTAGTTGGAGTGATTCTGCAACTGCACCACTGAGATCTTAAAAACAGGTGCACTAAACCTCCTGAAAATAATGTGGTTTACTTCATTTACAGCAAAGTAGCCAATTGAGGCTCACAAACCAGAAGTAGGGCCCATGTCCCCCATGGCAAAGATTCGGAAAGCATGGGCTTGGGCAGGTAGGAGTGCCAGGGAAAAGTGGAGCACGGGGAAGCCAGAGCATGGGGAATGGAATCCAAATAGGAGTGTCAAGGTGGAAGAGCTCTGGCTCCTCATTTCACTGGGGTCAGCAGGTTTGGCCACCCCAGAACTGGAGTCCTGTGTACAATCCAATTAGTCAAGATAATACTGGTTTTAGTAACTCTGCGTCCTACTATTTCATAATAAATGAAGGGCCTGCCTACTGTGTTGCGCTGAGCAGCATAATCACATGAGCTTGAAGTACTCTCATGAACTGAGTCTCTAATGAAATAAAGTAAGTAGGTAACAAGAACACTAGTTATGTTCCAGACATCATTATGTTTCTATTAATCTTCAGAAAAGCTGTTCCAATAGGTAGATTTTTAGAGCCTTACTTATCATCCTGCTTTCCTACTGATTATTCAAATGTTCAAATTCCTATAAACCGCGTATTGCCACAGTGTTTGCAGTATCACCCGTACATAGACAAGATCAGATGTGTCCAGGTTGAGATGAACAGGTACACTGTGCTTGTCACACAAATGCTGGAACTACTGTCAAGTGAAGTCTTAATGTGGAGGTGGATTTTACAGAACTAGGAATGAGGAGATTTTGGTGAAAATGATGAGCAGATAATGGAAGTGAAGTTGCTTTCAGGGTCCAGTGTCATGTAGTCAAAGCAACTGAGAATGGTGTTAAAGCGGACTGTGACATATGTGAAAACGCAGGTTACCCAGTGGGACTCTTGCAGCACTTGCATCAGGATTGATCCAAAATGACAGCCAGGATAGAACAACAATTAGCAGTGTAGGAGCATAAACACCCATCATGTAAAATCCAACTTGTCTTCTTAAAGTGAAGATTACTTCTACACAAGTGTAATAACCTTTAAAGAAATAAACGCATTAATGTTTAACAAGCTTTGCAAGTGAACCTCTGATCCATATCTTCCAAGCCTTTTTCTATTTAAGAGTAAAAGTTCAATAATTTAATTGTCTTTATAAATTCAAAGAGTTTAATTTGAAAAAAAAAATTCAAAACACAGATCTACATAACCACAAAGTGTGGTCAGGTTGAGATATTATCTGTGCTCTATAAGGAAAGGAACCCTCTGTCTTCTCAAAGCACATCACTAGCAGGAAGCTAAAATGACGCTCATCTTGATGCTGGCCTCAAGATGCAGTCCAGATAAAACCCATGGAGTCTGGCAGTCCTACTAGCTTAAGCTAACCTGAAAATCCTACTTAGCATTAATTTGTGCAAAAGGTGTAATTAAGAAATACTAGTCCAGAAAGTTTAGAATGAAAAGAGGGGATCTGAATGTAATTCTAATCAGATTTCCCCAGTATTGAAAGATGATACAGCTGACTTCTAAAATTGGTATAGACTTTTTTAAACAGGGTCTAGAAAACCTGTAAATTTTGCAAACAAGGGATAGTGCATAAAATCTTCTAAAATGAGTATCTAAAGGATACAAATATTTCCGAAGATATCTGTTTAAGATAATTCTATAAAAATAATGCTGTAGATACCAGAGGTTTTGCTGGCAATAACAAATGTATCAAGAAATCTGATAACCACAAAATAAATTCTGTTCATATTTTCACTCAATTAGCAGAACTGCCATTTTTATATTAATAGTAACACAACAGTGCTGTAAAAGAACCCCAAACCTTCAGAGACTATTCTATCACAAAGAAAGGGAATTCATATGTTATATTACAACAACTTCAAAATTCAGATTGGACCGTATTTATCAATCCAGTTGGTGCAAAGCTAATTTAGAAGCTAGAATCTGTCAAAAAGTTCTCTATGTATCTTCCATATTTTATCAGTTAAGTGCTGTACAATGACAAGTTATCACAAAAGACCTGTTTGGGCATACAAACACCAAAACAACAAAATAATAAAACTTTGATGAAAAACATCCTTGTTTGGAAGACTAGTGTCCTCTACACTGCATTTTATTTAGTGCTGTATTTTATTGTCCATTCTATCATTTTCAGTGATCTGTTTGCTGAAAAGTTTTCCCTCTATAATTTCTGAATAGTTTCCAGGTAGTTTTAGGTTTTATTTTCAAATGAGGGATGACCTTCAAAATCATTGTTTCTGTTATGTAGGAAATGTATTCCGTATGCCTTCATTTAAATAATCTTTCATCAGACAGGGTATAGTATCTATTGCCCTCACCATTCAGCTCACAAAGACCTTTTTGGATCTGTTACACAATTGATGAATAACAGGCAATTTGCAAATATATATATATGTTCAATTTATTGCCACAAAAGCTCCCCAAATTTGGTGACCCTCTTTCAACTTGGATAGGTATGATAAAACGTCAGTTGACAAAAATAAGCAGTAAAAATTAAGTTCTTTGCAATTGGCAGGAATCTCCTACATAAGCCAAAATTTTGAAAATTTGCTCCTTCATGCAACACTTCTCTTGATTATCTGACAAAATCCTTTGCTGAATTAATTTTAACTCTATGTGTGAAGGTCTTTTAAAAATACCTTCAGCATAAGAATCTAAAGAAAATAAAAATGGAGTATTTAAAACACCCTTTAAAATTACTTCAGAGTATTAAAATATTCCATTCACATTACTGAAGTATTAATTCCAGTTCTGATTATGAAATTAAATGGATATTCTTAACAGAAATGATTTGCCATAAAAGAATTGTAAAAACTTTTAAAAAATTAATTTTTTAAATGATGGTTCTCTCATGTTCTTTCATGTTTCAAAGCACACACACACACACACAAAACGTGAGCATTTTACTGAGCATTTTGCACAGCGACATTTTAACTTGTGGTCACAAGTTGCTGGAACTTGAGAGAGCACCAATGATTTTTCTTAAATGTTTTTCTTTATGGTTCCTAAAAATACCTAAAATATCTAAAGTTTTTTTAGACATTTAATTTCAGATTTAGGGCAAAACTCAAAATGATCACGATAACTTTAATAACAAGATAGCAATCTTGAGTATTTCCTTTTTGCCTCAAATAGAATGCAAGCTTTACAATTTTCTAATTTGTATGGATTTCATTCAGGAAATGCAAGATCCATTCCCTCTAATTTTTCACTACTTCATAGCCTATTTTTTTTGCAGTAAATTCATTGTTTAATTAAGAAAAAAACAATTTTCTCATTACTAAGTAAGTTTCTACCATATCCTGTCTTAGATTTGCATGCAATCACTGCCAGTTGTTGGATTTGCTTTAACAAGTGCAGAATTTTCCTGAAGAGAGCTAATTTCTTATTATTCTCAAATGTTTAATCACCCGAGATGCTGAATTATGTAGTTAGGTAAGAACTCACTCATTTTGCAGTTAAAAAACAAACTCCACTTCAATTTTCATTATCTCTTCAAGTTAAATCCTTAACTCTCAGATCTGCTAAGGTTACTTGAGATCTCTTCAGACTTGGAATCAGGCTCAGGAGCAATCACAAGTAACAGATTCTCCACTGCAGCTGAATAGTCAAAGAGATACTTGCAAAGGGTCCTCAGAAGCTGCAGCACCACAGCCTCCCTTGCTGAGTTTTGATGGGAGATTTATTTATATGATGCAAAAGCACTGCCTAAAATACACCTGCTGACTTCCATTCTTGTAGAAAGTTTTGTGGTTGCCACAGTATGTGAGTAGTTTGGATATAATCACAAGCAGGAATGAATCAAAATAGAAAAGATAAATCAAAAAAACCAGAGTACAGAAACCATTGGATAAATCTGTGCTCACATTCAGAAAATAATGGTAGGATTAAATAAATACAGGGCTGAGGATTTTAAGTAGCTTTCTCTAATGACACACTTTCCAGAACACTTAAAGTAAAGGAAGAACCTGTAGGAAGGAGCACTTGAAGTTACACTCTAATACTATCCATTTACAGAACAAAATTTGAACCAGAAAATCAAAATTTACCCACTTTGCTGCATCTGAAAAGATTCTGTGTGAACACTCATGCAGACAAGTTAGACATTTACAAGCGTAAACAGGTAATAGAACTATAAAAAGAGAATGGTGATATGAAGATTACAAGATATGTAAGCAAAATCAAGACAAACATTTAATCCCATCTTCAACTTAGATGTGCCCTATATTTGAATTAGTTTGTAGTAATCACATATAAAAGTTACCATCATATGAACTGCTTATTAGTAAAAGTAATCTGTTTTATCCCATGAAATGTAAGACATGGTCTGGAGTATTAACCATTAACTATAAACAATAATTGAAGAAAGTTTAAAAGGTTTTTACCAAGGCAATCACTTAGATTACCTACCTGTGCCTTTGTAATACTTGGTACAGTTACCATATTCGATATCCTCTTTTTTAATATCAAACTGAGGCAGAGCAATTTTCTCTAGCTGTACAGGATCTCCAGACTGCCAGATAAACCGTAAGTCATCAGTTGTGTAACCAACTACAAGAACAAAATAATAATATATGCTTAAAGAACCACCTCAATCAGACTAAACTCTGCAAGAAAACCTAGCATATATGTACCATACTTCTTTCAGCCTTTTTCTTTCTAGTTCCTGTTCAAATAAATAAATACAAAAATTAAATAATTCATAGCTGAATTTTTATGTAGGCCTAAATTAGGATTTGATGGGTGGAACATTACATTATCAGCTGACGAAGAGGTGTTTGTTGCAGTGTGTACTGTTTAAAGAAAGAAAGCAAAGCTCTACTCTCCACAGCTTTCAAGCCGCCATATTAATTCATACTCTACTTCAACAAAGCATGAAAAATGTACTGAATTTTAACCAGGACTCATGAATCCAAGTAACTTCAAAAGAATTTAGCAACTCCATTACTGTGATGGATCTTGGGTTTTGTGAAAAACAGCCTCTCTGCTTATTTGTTCAGACTAAAAGCCCTGACTCATGTAAGCATTTCCACTCAGGAAATACTTGATTAGGAATTTTAGCAGATGTGTAGTCCTACAGAAATCAGCTCAGTGCCTTCATGACCTCCTGAGCATGGACAGACTTCAGCACCTGAGTGTCTAAATCATGATGTACACACCACCACCAAGCAAGAGGCAGTGAAAGTTAGACTCACAATATTCAAGCATAAAGCAATATTGATTAAATATGCATAATCAGAACCATGATTTTATATGTCATTTTTTTGCTACCTTCTGTTTATTAAAGATTAACTTAATTCAAACAGAGATAATGTGTGTTAGGTGAGAACAGGGATGAGGAAATATAAAAAAGATGGAGTTGGAATGCAGCCTTTTGCAGTTCAAAGCCCTTAAAAATGTTTAAACAGCCATTCTTTTCCTGGAAGCATTAGACTAAAAAAGTGAAACTGTTCATAAGGTTTCTATTGTGCCTCTATGATTCACAATAATTTAATGAAAATCAAAACATCCCAAAGCTCTGTAAAGTAAGGTAATATCAAAAAAATGAGTTGTTTTAATTCTTCATTCATAATATCTGTCTCACCCCCTTCCAACACTCAGCATACTACAAAACTGCCAAGATCCTTTATGATAACAATTACTGGACAGTGAAATGTCTGTCTATAGAGAATGTGTAGAGTTGGGGATCATAACTGTGGATATGAGAACAGTTCAGTAAGAACTGGTGGCCTTTTTTGATTTTGAAATCTAGCAAATACAAACAAAATATTGATTTGAAAATAACCTAAGAAGAATAAAACTGCCAAATGCTAAGAAGGAAAGAACTGGAGGGACAGACAGGAGGTCGTGGGTACCATTCTTACTTTTAGCGTTACAGCAGGAACAGGCTGTAACAGCAAGCTACCTTCCTTCTCTCTGTTCCACACTTGTCCTTATTCAGGAAAACAGAATTACTATGAAAGTGGGATCACCAGGGATTGAAGTGTTGGAAAAAGGCTGTACTTGTGTAGGCACTCATGTACTTGGGGCATGAGAAAGAATATGAGTTTCAGAAACATTTTGTCTGCATGAAGCCCTTCAGAGACAAGACCTGTCTGCCCCATCAAAAGATTAAATCACCTGGAGACCAGGACAGGACTGGTAAGGAATAGATGCCTGACTACAGCCACAGCACACCTTGAAACCACTTTCAAAACATTTCACACTAGATGATATCACTGCTTTGGCATTAAATACTTTTCCTTATTAAGGGGTTTCAAGCAATACCATGCATCATCAATGCAAGGGGATAAACTGGGCCCCAACAACCTCCAAAGCAGCACAGATTGTGGAATTTAAAGCTACCTGGGGAAGCCATTCTTTTTCCAAATGATATGTGTTTCCAGTTTGACTAAGTTTATTGTAAAAGTTTTTATAAAACTCCTCAATTGTCATTATGGTTGACAGTAAAAGCTAAAACCAAGCATGCACAGCGCCATAACTGTAAGAAATATTTTTGATAGGGAAATGTGCATTGGTAGGAACCAGTGAATATCAGTTTCATAATTCATTAAAGATGTTGACATGAACAATACAGAACTGATAATTTTTGTTTGATTCTCATGCATGCCTAGAAGAGAACTGTTTTAATGCACAGAATAATTTACATACAGCTTTCCAATTGCATCTTGCAGCGCTGTGTATCCATAGGAAACAAGGTCAAGTCCAAAGGGCATGACAGAGTAATGGACAACCTGAAAATACAGAAATGGTATTTAAAAACAGTGTGAGCTGCCATATAAGTAGTAGATGGCCATAAGAAAGAAAAAATCACAGGTATTTGATTTTCATCTTCTAAAACAGCAGAAACAAAATTTAAAGTTATAATTAACAGTTTGAAATGCAGATCTCTAGTACAAAATAGGAAAATAAAACTTATAGAGGGCTTTAAACGCATAACAGTTCACAAATTAGAGAACTACTAATACAAGACAAAATACATATAGGTCATAAGAATAACCTAACCAAATGTCTATACAGAACTGAGTCCTGTCTCCAGCAGTGGCCAATGGTAGACTTCTAAAAAAGAATACGATACTATGGCAATCTGGAAATGCTATTTTTCCAGATGTCCAGCAACATGCCCGAAGTTGCACGTCAAGGACTCCCTAAACCAGAAGTGATGCTTCAGTATTTAAGGGACTTTGACAGATGTTTTTCGTCTCCAAGAAGCTGTTTTGATGCTGGTTGCTTTCTGGAATCTATGTACCTGGTTTCTGCTGGGACGGAGTTAATTTCCTTCCTAGCAGCTGGCACAGTGCTGTGTTTTGGATTCAGTATGAGAATAGTGTGGATAACACATTGATGTTTCAGTTGTTGCTCAGTAGTGCTTACCCTAAATCAAGGACTTTTCAGTTTCCATGCTCTGCCAGTGAGCAGGTGCACAGGAAGATGGGAGGCAGCAGGGAAGGGATGGTCAGCAGGTGCTGAGCAATTGTATTCTGCATCACTTGTTTCTCTTGGGTTTTATGTCTCTCTCTCCCTTTCCATTTTATTACAATTAATATTAGCATTATTACCTCTATTATTTTGTTTTACTTTGCTTCAATTGTTAAACCGTTCTCAACCCAAGACTTTTATGGGCTTTCTTTTCCTGCTTCTCCTCCCCATCCCACCAGGGCCAGGGGGAAGGGGGAAGTGAGCAAAGCAGCTATGTGGTACTTAAGTATCAGCTGGGGTTAAACCATGACACCATGTAACCTTTAACAACAAAGAACACTATAGCTTAGCCGCACACAATCTAATAATCTCCTTTTATATATCCTGAGTTTGTCTCATAGCTCTTTTACTGGTAAAGGCGGCAAAAAAATCAATGTCCATCCATTCTCTCTTGTGACATTTGTGATTTAGAGATCTCTAAGTCACCACCTCAATTATCTTGTTTTTTCCAGCGTGAAAAGTTCTGCCTTGCTCAGCTGGTCTGTATCTTTGACCATCCTTGCCTCCCTTCTTCCCAGTGGGAAGACCAGAATTGCACTTGTATTCAGAACCCAAGTGTAGCATTCATTTATGAAGTGGCATAACATTCTCTTTCATCCCTAATACTTCCTACAATTCAAATCACTTTCTCAAACAGTACTGAGCTATTAGCTGGCATTTTCAGACAACCAGCTGTTACTTCTCACAGATAATTTCCTTAGCTGATAACTACCTCAAAACCAATCAGGTTTTATGTGATGTTACAATAATTTTTTTCCTCATGCATAATTTTCAGTTATTCACTTTGAATTTCACCTCATACTTTGTTGCCTGGTCATTAGATTAATTTGTGGTTCTATTTTGTCTCTTACCTTTACTGTTCTGCATATTTTGGTATCATCAAAAGCACTTGGAAATTCACAGTTTTCCAGATGATTTTTGTTGAAAAGCACAAAACCCAGCTGAGATTTTTTGTGGGACTCACTGCTTACTTTCCCTGATGTGAGCACTAGCTGTTTATTCCTATTTTGAGTTTCCTAATTCTTAACTATTTACACAAGAGTTTTCTCTCATACACATTTTGTCATTCAAGTGATAACTGGAGATTCTTTAATTTATACATAATACTACTTATGTAAACTAAAAATTCAAGACAGAGAAATTATATACTTTAAAAATGCCACCAAAGCACAATGTCTCAAAAAATTATTATCTGCATATGTATTATCTAAGAATATAGTGTGTTAATAAAATAAACTGTGTATTTTTAGAAGATAACCTTAATTTAAAATTTATTGAATTTGGTTTTGTTATTTCCATGTTTTCAGAGAATAATTTTTCCATCAGAAACACTTTCACTAGTATTCAGTCAATATTCATTAATCATTAAGCTAACCTATTGAGCTCATTTATGAATAGCTGCAACATTTGAAAAAGGCTTCAGTGTTTCATTTAACATTTGCTGCTTCAAATAAGAAGATTCTTTCATAGCTGAAAGTGATTTTCTACTTTGAAATATTAATTTCTATGCTCTTCAAAACCTGCTACAGAAGCAACTGAAATCAAAACCAGGACCTTCAGAGCAAGCCAAATGAAATGCTCTGATTGCCCAACGTATTTTCTTTTCTGATCACTGTCAGAAATAGTCTTGAGATTGACTTTTCTCATCCTGATTTGAAATGGGCGAAAAAGAACACAGTCTCCCTTTTTTTTTTCTTTTTTTTTTTCTCTCCATTTTTACTACATGAAGAAATAGCTCATGTGGCCCTATCTTCTGAAGTAGTTGCCTCTTAAAGGTAAAGTTGTAGTATATTCAGATAATCATTTTTACCTCTATCAGGGCAATATGTTCCAGTTCACACCAGAAGAAAATTCACTCACTGTTAGAAAAATCATTGGTTCTATAAACTCTCTAGATCTGTAATTCACTATGACATCCTTTTAATCAATCAATTTGCTGTTTTCAGTGGATGACTATCTTTGTGGTATTGTGTTTACTTTTGATAAACCAACTCAAACCACAAAAATCTACAAGTTAATTGCAAAGAAATTGAACAGTATTTTGGGATCTTCCAAAAAACCCTGATATCCATTCAGGTATAGAACTTAATCAGTATTATTTCACAGTACTTTTACAAAACATTTATATTCACAACTTTTGTAATTTTTGCCTTTCCCTACATCTTTAGTAAGTAATCATCATTTACTTTGGTTGACGCAGAAATTCAAGCGGTATGCAAAATATATTCTTCAGCTGGAGGTTTTTTTTCAGATACCTTATCCACTTCATTATGTGTCTAGGAATCTAAGCAATTATCAAAGGCGTTTAAATTTTGGTTCCAATAATGTTAGTTTTACTTAGTGTGTTAGCTTAACATGACACACAAAAGTGCACACACTTCGAATTTCTTTCACCTGCAGTGCTATCAACTGATATGCTTTAAAATATCTTCATCTGATTTCTTTACACATATTTAATTTATTGTAGTATTGTTTACAAACTGTCATATAATTTTAAGTATTAGTCATAAGTCATATTATGTTACTAAGTCTAATAAGTATACACATTTCAAATAAAGTAATTTAAAAAAATAGTAGAAATATGTAACTAAAATACCTCATGCTGACTAGGACATCTCCATCCCGAAATATAAAAAGAAGGATATTTTCTTGTGTGACATCATGGAAGTTAGCATTTTTTTCATTTGCAAAGAATAAGTCTGGCTTCCAAAGACACTTGAACATAGTCGGGTCCACTGTCAGTGTATCTGAGCCTCTCCAGTCATTGGGCAGTTTGAGTCTGGGGTCATTCCACTTCTGTCTTAGAAAGATGTTGACTCTATAATCCTGATGGGAAGAATAAATAAATATTAGACCAGACAAAATTCTAGGAAAAAACCCCACTGAGAAATAATACCATTCTGTCAGAAAAACGATTCATGACCTGATTTTTTTCTATCACAAAGACAGTAATCACTATTCAAATGACATTAATAAGTGTTACATTTAATAGACTTCACTACAAATAGGTAGATTATGTCTCACTCATGTTCTGAATATAGCAACTTTCTTTAAATACAGGACCAAACTGGTCCCCCTGGAATCATTTCTGCATCCCCTCGATAGTGGCCCCTGTTACTCCAGCAGAGAGAAAAGCATGCAGCAAGGCAGGGAGAGGCCATAGCTTGACTATGCTAAATGGCTGTAGGCAGCAGGCACAAAATATCACTTCTATCAGGATATCCTGTGAGTGCCAATTCCAGTTTATTCTCCATTTGGTTAAGTGGCACACTGATGGAAAAATACCACACTATAAAAGTGGAAGTCCAGGCAGACAGCAGATTTTACTCTACACATCCAGAATACAGCTTCAGACCTCCTAACAGCGATCTGGAACTATTCTGGTAACAGGAAAACTGATGCCAGCTTGTAACATGAGTGCTGAGGTAGCAGGTATGAAAGGGGAAACAGAATCAGTTTCCAAGAGAAAAAATCAAGGCTTTACAGAGGAAACCTCCTTCTGGATTCAGCAGGACTCTTGTTGGACAGTAGTAGAGCCACGCTCAACGAGAACCTAATTTTGCTTTCGGGAATTGGAGTAACATGTGTCTCAAGGCAAAATGATACCCTGCACACATTCTGTCCTTAGTGAAAGCTGTGTGAATGCAAAGGAAAAATACGACCCAGAATGTCAGTCATGATTTTTCAGTCTTATTTCTAAGTCTTCTTGCTTTTTACATTTACATTTAAGCCAGTGCCTCTTTTTTCAAGTATATGTAAACTAGGCAGATCACATACAGAAAAAGAATAAGGGTATTGTTGAAATGAAGTTAAAAACCCCAACCAAATAAACCAAAATTCTATACATAAGATAAATTCTATCTCCAGTCTTCCTAGTTCTTTCTACAATGTGCTTTGTTTTTGCATAATTGTCTACTAAGTACAAAGCCTCCTCCAGTAGTGAAAATACTGTTACTGCTGTACAATTATAGCAAAATGCTAGAAATCTGTGAGTGAAGGTTCTCAAAGTACTTTTGGTTTGTCAAAGTATTCTGCATACAAACTAATTTTATGAAGTTGTTTATTTTACATGTTAATGTCCTATTATACTTTTTTTGTTGTTATTGATACAACATGAAGTATTCTGTTGCATTTACTGCATCTACATTCCAAAGCAGGTGCCATGTTGAGACTGTCATGCTATCTTCAACATGAAGGAGTTCACTTGGCTAAGACCTCATGCAGAATAATTTAGCCTGTTGAATTACCCTGTAAATTGAAATACAGTGTTCATTTTTCCATGTCCAGTCCACCAGTCAAATCAGCCCAGATGCTTCTTTATTACACTATACTGTGTAACATTCTTCCTTAATGCATTGCAAGGAAAAGCAAAGCATCAAAACTAAGTACTTGTTACTTGTTGGTAGTCTCTTTTGGAAAAAATGCACGTAGTCTGACTGTTATTTATACAGAGACCTATATTGTCTTGCCAAAGTAAAGAAGAAACAAAAAATAACAGTTAATATGAAGTGACTTTGTATTGGAAGGTTCTCACAGAGAAGCTTTAGAACCAGAGGGAATTCAGGTTATTATCTCAGAAAGCATCTTTTCAATTATATGTATATAATTGAAAATTTATTTGCTTCTTGCTGAAGTTCCCAATTCCATATGCACTTCTTGACTCAGTGAAAAAAATTACTTTGAATCATATGAGATAAATACTGCATACCATTCATGCTCACAAGCATTACACTATTTGTAGCACGAAAGTCAGCTTCCCTATAACAAGTCATTACCCTAATTTTAACAAAATAAGATGCCTTCTCAAAGCCATAGGCAAATGATAAGCAGTGTCCAACACTTGCCTTCAGCTTACCGAGTCAGTAGAGGGAGTTATTTACATCATTGAAAAGCAGAATGCACTGGCAAAATAAGAATTGTAAGTAAGATCAGGCGTATAGTATTTTATTTCCTTTCTTGCTCTACTACAAATGACCTTAAATAGACCAAACAATGGGATGTTGAGACATTTCAAGAACTTGATTCTGTTCCGATTTAACTCAATGGAAGAAAAATCCCATTAATCTAAAATAGGTATGTTCTAAAATAATCAGGCCTAGATTAGAGACTTGTGAAAGGGGTACTTTGAGAGGAATACACCACATACTTGAGGCAATACAGAAAATGCAGAAGGAAGAAAAGAGATGTCACAATACAGAACCGTGGCTAACCAGACAAGTGTGCAGAAGGGCTGCTTCTTACAAGAATATGAACTCTTACAGCATCTGGCGGCAGTGTAGACTATGACCTGGTATATATCCATTTTGAAAGAAGTCTGCAACCAGTCGTCTCAAATTTGCACCATGGACTTTAAGATTCAGTAAGTGTACTTAATGATTAGATTCAACAGGGGTTGAAGAAGTAGTCTGTATGAAGCAACTGGTCTTCCTGCTGTACGTTTTACAAACATTTTTTTAATATTTCAGTGTGATTGGCATTTTATAATAAAGGAGAGCCAAATAGGAACTAAAAAGCCTGAGACCTGACAGGTAGAAAGAAACACAGAAGTATTCTACAGGGCTCTGTGTTCCCGTGAAACTCCAGCAGAAGGCAAGTTGTTTTCAGGGAGGTTGAAAGGAGAGGCATTCTAGGAAATATTTCAAATGCAGCCTACTAAAAAGCGGGCATGTGGCCAGAAAACCTCCTCAGGCCAGAAATCAGGCATTGCCTATACATCTCTGCAAAATGGAGCACATAGCAGATAATGAAAGACTTTCTACATAAACTGCAGTCACACAAAGAAAGGAAGAATAATAGTGCTCTTTTTTTTATAAAGTAAATTTTTTGGATAAAGTAACAAATTTCATTTTTAAGATTAAAATAAGGAAATTGAATTTTTGTTTATATACATGAATATTAAAAAGACCTTTCTGCAAGGTTTTAAAGTAAAGGAGAAGAAAGAAGTCATTTGAGTCAGTGAAGAAAGGTCACACTGCAAGTAAAAATCTTGAATATAGATTCTGTAGACAGAGAGTCAGATCACCATCTCAGTTAAAATATTATATTCCTGTGGGTATTTATATGAGAAACTCTCTATCGCTAGGAATCCTTGACTGGTCTTCCAGTTTAAAACAGTTTCCAGAAGTGACATAACCACCATATTATCCCACAAAACTGCAGTATGAAAAATCACTTGCAAAATCAGAAGTAGAGTTAGCATCGGGATCCTAGAAAGGTGATCTAATGATTTAGAAGGAAACAAGTTACAGGATTCAAAGATAAAGGGAGCTTACTGGAAGGTAGCTCTGGCATAAGCTCTTCTTCATTTTATCTGTACAAATTCTGATTCTCTCTGTAGTTAACTAACCTTTTTGTTTGTTTTTTTCCAGGTAACTTGCCTCATAACTGTGTGGAAATATTGCAATCCTTCTGAGTATTAACAACACAACATTAACATTACTCTTTCTAGACACAGAGTAAACATTTTCCCTTTACATTGTTCACAAGGGCTTGACTAAAGCAATACAGGCTTCTGGGCATAGGATCCACAGTATGGGTACTATGTTGTTTTAAACCAATATAACCTCAAACATGTTGATGCTTTCTATAAATTCCCTTCTCTCTTAAAACTAAGCAGACTTTACCTTCATGGGAGGTAATCTCTACTCTTTTTTGTTGAGGATAAGCCAACTGCATAGCTATGAATGCAATTATCATGGGACCTTTTCTCACTGGCACTCTACACGTTTGTTGGGCCTTCTACCACCACCTCACTTCTTGTCATCTGGCATCCACGGTTATTTTTCCCCACACTTCCATCACCCAAAAGAAGGAATCATTGCTTTGGCATGGTTATAGCAGGATGCTTTAAATCCAAACAGATTTTATTAATTCAATTATTGGCACCAAAAGTGGTTACAGAGCAAAGAATCCTCATAATATACTTCACTGACAAAAATACTTTAAAATTTCACAGATTTTTGTATCAGTAAGGATATCACTCCAACCACTTTAGTAGCTTCTGTTAATTTTAGAGACAGTCAAGAAATCAATATGCCTCATTATTCTCACCAATCCTGGAGACAGAAGATATGTAGACAGCCACTCTCTTCTCTAACATCAAGGAATTTTTCCAGCAGTTCTGGTACTCCTGCAAATGTTTCCTTTTCTCAATGCAAGAGGTCCCCTGGTCCTTCACAGACTTGATGCTTCAGCTCCAGGAAATACTTTTCCTATGATTCTGAAGGTACAAGTCTTTTCCTAGTCTAAGAGACCCCTGCTTCTACTGTCTGGTGCATTACCCAGACCCTCTGAAGACAAGTACCAACCTATCCCCAAAGAGAGCAGTGGTTCCTGAGTGTCCACAGGACTCAATTCCCACTTCAGCAGGAAGAGTTTTCCAAGTGACACACAGAAGAACAGATCAACTGTTTATTTTGTCAGTGCTTCCTGTGAAATATTAAGGCCACCAAGAAGTAATCCAAATTTCACATAAACATGCTTAGCTATCATGGTGATCTCAGCTGGAGACAGAAATCTAAATAAAAGCACAAATTAAAGTAAGGATGGTATCTGAAGTTCTGAAATATGGAGGAGAGTATGACTTATCTTACAGAACATCCTAGTAAATTTGTGAGTGACCCTATCAGGGAGTCACAGGCAGGTACACATACATTGCTGGAGAGAGTATACTTGATTTTTTTTTTTTTTTGAGGGGGTGAGAGGAAGCACACCCCTTACATTCATGTTTTCTTACTATTTGAAACTGGGTGAATTGTAAAAAAGCCTCTGTAAAAGTCACTTTTTAAAGCATGCAATAAATTTCAGAAACTTGAAAGGGCCATCTGGCCTAATATACTTGACATCTTAGACACTTATCTCACTGCTACTTTCCTGCTCTTCCTCCCTGCCCCTCTTTAAACTTGAATCCTCCTTTTGTTTTCAGAAATAAATCTCAGGGCATCTTCAGCAAACTCAGTTTTTTTATTTTCATATCACTTCCCAGTAATGCCATTAGTTGACTTACAATCCTTTGCAATCAAATCTAAATCTTTATTCACTGCTAGCTAAAGAAAGAGAAATTTCTGGTCAAGTTGTTCAAGAGCTGTTTCAGCTACAAGGTATGTACAACTCTGAGCAGCTCTGCAGTCTACTGAAATGTCATTAAGGTAACATGTAAGCTGGTTCTGAATTTTAAATGGGCACTTCCAACAACAACAAAATGTGTTTAAAGTTTATTAGTGGTATTATGGTTTATTGCTTCTCTGCCATTATGAGTCAGAATGTCTTGCTGTGGTTTTTTGAATAATACACCAAGCAACCTATATACTAACTCTCAGGAAGATTATTTAATTCATAGTACCAATAGGTTTCTTCCACTGAACTTAATAACTTATGGAAGTGAGTGAATCTCTTGCATCTAAGAAACTATGGATTTCCTTTCATGTAAATCAGCTACAATAATCTGCGCACACATATAAAGTGAAATAGATGAATAGGTTTATGGCATAAAGCACAGTCAGTCAATCACTAACCCCATTAATGTAATTCTCAGTGCCTACAACCACAGCAATCATTTCTACTTTACAGTTCATAATCCTGAACTCGAAATTTAATAAGAAAATCTCCATGTGTGCTATAATAATTTCATTTCAGTCTTACCATAGTTGTCTCTTGAATTGACCCAAAGCTGTTAATGAAGATGTTGACTGCAACATCGACTGGAATTCCTTTAAAAAAAAATAAAAAATAGTGACCTGCACAATCCAGTAAAGGTACATTATCCTTCAATAAAAGTTCCTTTATACTGATATCACAATTTAAAATGTTTTTATAGGGTCATACAACTTCATCTTTTCAAGTTAGTATATACAAAACCAAGGGTAATCACAAAACTTCTTTTCAACCTAGTGACCAGAAAACAGGAAAAAAACATCCTTAGTCTAGAGAACTAATCTTAAAGAATTTCACAGACCATATATCTAAATGAATAATTTTTGATTTCCATGATTTTCTGTTATCACAGAATGCATAAGCCAGTATTACTTTTGCACACAGTGTAATGGATAGAGGCAATTCACATTTCTAGCAGCAGACATTTTTAACTGTCAAGGTCATAACGATGATCTATCATTCCAAATTACTTGTTCATGATTTATGATGAGACACTTATTGATATTTTAAGATGATACTTCTTTGTGCAAGTCAAGTACATAACTGTAAAGTATGAGTACAGGCAGGTAAAAATTATTGCACACAGCTTTCTCAGCTGTCTAGTCTTGGTGCAAGAGAGTTGGAAAGCGTCTCCATTTTACAATGGTTACTGATTTGCCAAGAAAAACTTCTAGAAGCCAGCAGCTGTGAAGATATTAAGATAGCCTGGATTTTCTTCTCTTTTCCACAGCCAGGATTCCTGTAGCTGCAGAGGGATGGTGTGACAGCTGCTATATCTGCCCTCTGTCACCCTGGGGGAACTGATTGGCAGTCACTTAATATGGTGTTAACAGAGAGTTATCACCAAGCAAGAAGAATTGGCCTGACGGTTGTGAGAACTAATCAGGGCCCACAGGTTTTATTTATTATCTATGTTGTGAGTGTCAGCATGTCCATTAGATCTGATCTCATTTACACTGTAACAAATACTTAGTTCAGTGGGTTTCTTCTTACTTTCAGCAACAAAAGAGATACAAGAATATATGAAGACTGTTTTAATAGAGTAAGCAAATACAGTACAAAGTAATATATGCCTCTTCCAAAACAGCTTGCTTGTCTGTATAAAATATTTTGGTGTACATGTAACACATAAATTCAAACTCATTCTTGTGATTCACTAGAAATGTACAAAGATAAAATTTCCCTTTTTTCAGTTAAACCAGTTTGTGGGTTTTTTCATTTATTTTGTTTTGTTTTGTTTTGTTTTTAAATCAGACTACTTAAATGTGATGCTTTTGGTTATGCAATAAGCATAATAATTCTTCTAATGCCTGATGCATGTGACAGAGTACCCATCACATCACTAGTAGCCAAGAGTGTACTTCCTCTTCCAGATTTGAATAGAAAGTGCCATCCAAGAAAATCACTCATGTGTGAGGAACATTTTAACATGGGCAAACCACTTGTCAGAAAATGTTCTTTTTCTTCCACCTCCCTGTGAGTTAACATTACATGTCCTCCTTTTTCCTTCTGTCTTGATTCTTGCCAGGCTGCCAGCAGGGTTATCAAAAATATAAAGAAATCTGCAACATGCTTTGCAATTACAAGCTGATTATGCTGAAGAACAGGTAGAGAAGAGGTTCAATGTTTATTCTTTGTGACAAGGTTCAGTACTGAAAACATATAAATATGGTTCTATAATAAGAATAAGAAAGAAGCAATGTACTTGCTAAGAACTGAGTTTATTATGATTATAAAACAGTGATACAGAACATCTGAAAATAGTCTCTTGATAGGCACAATAAAGATTTCCAAATTTTTCATACTAGTGATATGCATATTAAATATCTCTTAGTGCACATATTATATGTGAGTTTGGACATGAAAGGACTGCTTTATGCATAGTCTGTATGTATTAAAATTTTATGTAATAAAATGTATTTTTTCAGAAGGGAAATCTTAATTCCTGGAAAGTGTAACTTAGAGCTCTATGAGTTATCAGAGGTTTTGCAGAGAATATGTATTCCAACCTTTTCTGCATATGTAATGAAGTCACACTTGCCTACATGAAAATCCTACAACATTGACGACCAGAGAGATGTTTTAAAGGCAGAGAATAAGTTTAAATGCATTACTACAGTGCATAAGCTTTATAACTAAAATATCTTTAACAGATTTAATAACTATACAGTTTCCAAATAGTGATACTGTTGATCTTAACCTCTTATACTTATCTTAAAGGATGCCTATAGAGAAATCCAATGTTTTAATATACTGTAAAACAGAGATACTACAAAAAGTCTAACTAAAATGTAGGCATAAAATAGATATTTTTAAAACTTATTCTGTAGAATCTACTCCTACTTTTAAAAAGTATCTAATAGTAGTAATAATTACAAAGTATCGCATACTATTATGATAATGAAATCCTAAAATAGTATCTTTCACCTGAAAAGGATAAATATCTTCTGCAGTTTTATACTATCTAGGGAAATTTTCATTTAAAAAAAAGAAACAAATCAGAACTTTAGGTTGTGAATATTATCTCTACATAAATTTTCTACATATGAAAAGAGTAAAAGTTAAATTCCAAAGATTAAAGCAAAGGTTGAAATATCTGACAAACCTTTGAAATTAGGCCTTATCCTGGGATCATAGCTGAGCAACAGCCTATTCAAGATATTGCTGGTTGAATTAGCAGGTACTCTTGCAAGGTCTTCAGCTGATTGTTGCCTGTAAAAAAAGTTCATTAGTTACTATCAAGACAGAAAGGACTGTATGCTTAAACTGAAGTAATTTTAAAGTAATGCCATAAATGCAATTTCACAAGCAAAATAAGTTCATTGTTTTCAGGTTCCACATTGTATAGTGTTCCTTTCCTTGAAATGTTCTAGTATTTTTCAAGAAATTGTAATAAACACAAATTCTCTCCTAGGTACTCTTAACTATAATCTTGGAAGCAAATAAACTGCAATTCATGAATTGTTCCCTTCCCTCCTAACATAAATATCCAGAGGGACATGATTTCTTCATCAGTAGAAAGCAGTCACCTGAACTATTTTTAGTGACTGTCAGATTAGGAACTTCAATAAATTGACAGCCACTTTGTAGGTGCCAAACCATGCAGAGGCTTTTGGCAGTCTCCTGTTCTCACATGCCAGCACCAGCTATTCCACCCAGAGCTGGAGGATTGCATAATCTCATTGTCAAGTGCTAATAAAAGCTTTGTTAAACAAAGAAAAACAAGGTCTTGGACTCTCCTCTGCTTTTGCAAGAGGAATTTAAACATCTTCAATTGCCTTGCTAATATTGTGTTGGGTGTTAAAACCATTGCTACAGTTCAAAAGAACCTGTGACAGGTGTATGTAGCTACAAGAGTATATGAAATTGAGTGCAACAAAAAGCAATATGGGTGCATCAGTCCCCATCCCCATCCCCAGTACTTTAAGCACCTAGCACTTTACCCTGTTTAATTTCTTTTTTTCATTATTCTCTCCCACACCAGTGTCAGCTTGACAGACCTACAAGTTATTCTCTGAAACATCTCACTTCACTGCTTTTTCATTTCTCATCCTTCAGTTTCCTTCATGTCCTCTGGGACTTCTGCCTTATTTAAACATTTATTGAAGAAATATTAACTCTCCAAAAGGCTTTTGGCCAGTATAAAAAAAAAAAAAAAAAATTGCATGAATATATTAGACTTCCTGATTTTAAAGATGCCCAATTATAGCAGCTCCTACTCAGCATCTTTCTTACGGACTACTGGAAATTAATTAATTAATAAATAATGGTCAGCATTGCATGATATCATTATTTGATTGAAAACTGGAAATGAGACCAGATCCTAGCCCTGGAAAAGCTTTTATGAATAACGTCACCATTAAAAACAACTAGTTTACTCAGACCATAGGAAAACAGGAGGAAATTAACATGATCTGCTGACTTGGTAGCACTCACTATGCCTTTCCAATGAGATTGAATCTCCTCATTTAACAGCTAAAATGTTTACAAACAAAACTGTGAAGGAGTTCCCTATTATTAAAATCATGTCAACCATTTACAATAACATAACTGCATTTTATTATATCATAGTCTCCTTGATACCCTTTGAGCATTTTATCCTTCAGGGAAAAAAAAAAAAATCTGATTTCTGTTTTCTCTGTTGCATTCAGGAAATTTCTGAAACTCAAAGCTGCACATCTGTTTAGCTATTTTCTTGTATTTGCTTGATGTAATAAATAAGGAAAAAATTATGGCAGCAAATAACCACTCGACCCTCCTTGAAATTTCGCAGTACTCATCAGTGATTAGCATGATAAGTATGCATCCTGAAGGCTACTCAGAGATGTAGCTACTAAGTATGTATCCATGACAATAGCATAAGCTGTAACACACAGGACGAATTGAGGAGCGGTATTAAGTGGCTGCAGTATATAATTCCCCACCCACCTCTTGCACTAAACACAGTAAAACCTCTGTGACATGTAACGATCACTTATCCAGAGATAAACGTTCTTCTAATAAAGCAACATATGTTAATTTCCACTAGTATGCTCTGCGTACAATAAACCTCTGCTAATTTCATATATGAGAAATTAAAAAGCAATGTTTTCTGACTACTTTGAATAACTGATGAATTCAACTTCAAACAATTCTCCCAGAGCTGAGTTCATAGGGTTTTATATTTGACTTCAAAGTGGATCATTATGCAAAAGAACTAATTTATTTCCTTATTTGGTCAGACAGTTGGACTAGATGATCATTGTAACTTCCAGCTGAAGTATTCTATTCTATTCTATTCTATTCTATTCTATTCTATTCTATTCTATTCTATTCTATTCTATTCTATTCTATTCCTTCAATTTTGAGATTTGTGTTCACTTTTAGTGACGACTTTTACCAGTGAACAGGTTGCTACAGAAATATCATAAACCAGCTTTGTGTGCTTTTTTTGCAGTTACCACTAATTGGACAACAGGAAAACATAAAGCTAAGATTATTTTCCATTTTGTAGCAGGAACAATTCAGAAAAGAATGCTCATTTAGCTATTAAAAAGGCACTGTACACTATTTTATCTGATACAGAAAGGTTCATGGCACTGCTTTCTTGCAAGCCACACATATTAACATCTAAAACATCTATATCAGATGTCTTCAAAAACTGCATTTATAAAAGAAGATTGTCCTTAATACAGACAGTAGGATTTCTTTTTAAATTATATATGCCCAATATAATGAAATATCAAAACAAAGCAAAGCAACAACTAATGAACAAACTTAAATCCCCCTCCTTTTTTTTTTTTTTTTTAAATTTCTGCTATGGGTTATATAAAGAAGTTCAGTAAATAGTGAAAACAGTAATCTGAACTGCACAGGATAACATGGGCTCATAAATGAAATACAGATGCTCATAAAATGCAAAAAGGAGAAGAGGAAAAAGTCTGAGAAATTAAAGGAGTGAGCAACCAACAGCAAAGAAAGCCAAATAAGCTCACAGGGTTATTTGTCTTTTCAAGTAAGAGGAATAAAGCGATAGCTTTTTGAGATATGAGTTGCACTGCAGAAGTATTTAAATACTAATAGCTGTTCAGGCTGTTTGTTCAAAAGCCATCCACGAATGGGGCACAGGAGATTTATTGCACTGGAAAGTCAGCAATGGGAAGAAGGGTGGCAGCACAGCTTTCTGGTAAAGAGCACCACAGTCACATCTTCCACAAGTTGTTGGCTTATGTTTTGAACTTACACAAGTGTATTAGTGCATTTATCCTCGTTTACCTAAGAACCAAGTGGCATACAATAGCACTGGCTGTTTTGAGTTAGGAGAAAGAGCACTGGGATTCTGTAATTGCTACTTTTAAAGGTCACTTTGAATGAAGTGGTTGAAATTACTACTGGGAAAAAAAGCTCTGCTGAGTATCAATCATATTTTCAATATGGTCTTTTACAGCATGCTGTCATTGAATTCCCATCAGTCATCAGCACACATGCGACACAACATCACCACAACAACTGGATTTCCTTCTGAGAGCCTTGCTGACCAAAACACCAACATTTCACCTGCAAATAAACACATCATATGTGTTCCTTTTGATGAGTTAAGAAGTTATAACGCTTTCAGAGTGACAGATGAGCAGAAAACCTTAATGGAACAGTAAATGGGATATGTTAGGTGCTTGAATAAAGAGGCTGGTACTATTAAGGTAAGAAATTTACCTAAAGCTACAACTACCCCTGTTTAATTGGCCATTCTGGAATGAACTAATGATATAAGGCATGTCTGTAGACTACATAAGAGAAAATGGATTTGAGCTGAGATCTGCCTTCCTAGAAGAGCATTATTTGTGTGCCGAAGGCTGTCTGAGTCCCACGTAACAAGACTCACACCAACTGAGAAGTTACTTAACACTTTTTCTAATTCAACTTACAATTTTACCACTTGTAAAAAGCCAGTTACTTAGATTTCCACCAGTTGCAGCATGCATTAGAATTTTAATGTATTTACTTTAACTTGTGTTGAACATACGAGGAGCTGATGGAAAGCATTAAGAAATGGAAATGTAGCACTTCACAGTAATTGATGAGCCCTAAGATATGGAGAATACCAAAGGATAAGGCAACAGAAGTCTCACAAATGATACAAAGGGAATTTAAAAGCAAGTAAGTGTAAAGATAGAAATTACTTTAACAAAAATCTTACCTAAGTAACAATTTAAAAAATCCAAACAACCAACACACAAAATACCCAAACCCAAAGTAGGATTTTTCCTTTTCTGAATTAAAAAAAAAAAAGGAAAATAAATGGTATTCTTGTATACTCAAAAGTATTTTCACTTCTACAAACAGTGTCCTCAAAAGTCAGAAAGAAAGCAAAGTACAGTTACTCTTTTGGCATAACATCTCTGAGTGATATGACTGGCTGCTCTCTGGGCTTTGGGAGGTTACTTCTGGTACCACTGATAAATAAAATAATTACTTTAAATACTGTATTTCATGGGATATGAAGTAAGGTGTCTATCTCTTCTTCCACTGTAGCTCAACAAATTTTATCACTGCCTTTGAAAAACATGATCAACATTTTCAATTGATGGCAACAGATAATTATTTTCATAATTCACTAATCAAAATCCAGAAGTTTAGATAAGCAGACATGCGTGACAAAGTGAAGCATATATTACACTTGGTTTAAATTTATATAGCTTCTTACATTTGTGTTAGGCAAATGTGTCAGAAGACATTATATCTGTATAGGTCATCATGACATTTAGTCTCTCAGACCTCACTGAAGTTACAAGAGTCCTTACCACATGCAGTGCTACAGGAGGATGACTGCAGAAAAGAATACAAACAATATTCTATACAAAGTGGGAAGGAAAACCTTTGCAAAGTTCTAGATTACTGTCTCACACATAAAAATATGTATTCCAACTTGCACTGTTATCTGCAGCAAAATTTCCCATATGATACTGAAACAACAGATTTCAGTGCAGTTTATTTAATTTGCGTGATGGAAACTGACATTTTTATCATATAACATGGCTGTGTATATCTGCGAAAGGTAAAAACAAGTTTGGGGAAACATAATACCTATTATCTCACCTATATATTTTAAGTACGATTTCCCTGATACAAACTATCAGTGTTCTGATTTGCCGGCATTTTATTTTCTGAGTGCAATAACTCAAAGCATAAAACCAGGTTAATACAAATCAATGACATACTATATAATTCTTCAG